GTCAAGGCTGTATATTGTCACCCTGCTTATTTAACTTATATGCAGAGTACATCATGAGAAACGCTGGGCTGGAAGAAGCACAAGCTGGAATCAAGATTTCAGGGAGAAATATCAATAACCTCAGATATGCAGATGAAACCACCCTTATGGCAGAAATGAAGAGGAACTAAAGAGCCTCTTGATGAAAGTGAAAGAGGAGAGTGAAAAAGTTGGCTTAAATCTCAACATTCAGAAAACTAAGATCATGGTATCTGGTCCCATCACTTCGTGGGAAATAGATGGGGAAACAGTGGAAACAGTGCCAGACTTTGTTTTGGGGGGCTCCAAAATCACTGCAGATGTTGATTGCAGCCATGAAATTAAAGGACACTTACTGCTTGGAGGGAAAGTTATGACCAACCTAGATAGCATATTAAAAAGCAGAGACATTACTTTGCCGACAAAGGTCCGTCTAGTCAAGGCTATGGTTTTTGCAGTGGTCATGTATGGATGTGAGAGTTGGACTGTGAAGAAAGCTGAGTGCCGAAAAATTGATGCTTTTGAATTGTCATGTTGGAGAAGACTCTTGAGAGTCCCTTGGACTACAAGGAGATCCAACCAGTCCATCCTAAAGGAGATCAGTCCTGGATGTTCATTGGAAGGACTGATGCTGAAGCTGAAACTCCAATACTTTGGCCACCTCATGCGAAGAGTTGACTCATTGGAAAAGACCCTGCTGCTGGGAGGGATTGGGGGCAGGAGGAGAAGAGGACGACAGAGGATGAGATGGCTGGATAGCATCACCAACTCGATGGACATGGGTTTGGGTGGACTCCGGGAGTTTGTGATGGACAGGGAGGCCTGACGTGCTGGGATTCATGGGGTCACAAAGAGTCGGACATGACTGAGCGACTGAGCTGAACTGAGCTGACCTGGCAGGTTTCTCTGCCTGTAGCTTCTCTCCAAGCTGCCCTGCACTTTGAGTCTGTATTTCCAAGCTGGAAGGGACCAGAAATAATATCTGAAAGTACCACCTTCATCATGACACCTGCCCCAAGCCTCCCAAGGTCCTCTTTATGCATCAGATCCAGCGGAGAGCCCCCTAGACTACTTGGCAAGACCAGCCCCTTGCCACCTGCCACCCCAACTCATCTCTTCCTCACCATGCCCTCCTCCACTCACACACAAGGCAGCCATTGTCCTGTGCTATGAGCCTGTTCGTACCACATTTATTCCCTCTCAAGGTGTTCCCCCCACCCCACTACTCAGAATCAGCAGATGAACAAGACTACCTACCAGTCTCAGGAACTTTCTAGAAGCCTTGAGGGTGGTCCTGACACCCCTACTCCCAGATATGATAGGGCTTGGAGAAAGGCTTTTAATAACAGAGAGACCCCTTCTGTAAAGAAAGTTTTTCTTCCTTACTGATTCTTGCATTACAGCATGCCTGTGAATGGACAGAATTAGGGGGCAGGGGTGCTATGAGGGCTTCAGGTTAGACGTTTTTCCCCAAGTCAGCAAATTCCTGGTTTATGGTGTCCTGATGCCCAAGGGGTACCTGCCCATTCTCCCAGCCCCCTTCCCTACATCTCCATGGGAGGACAGAGCTGCAAGGAGCTGCTAAAGCCAAAAACCAAAGCTGCACTTCTGCATTGCGGCTCCAAGTGGTGCCGGGCTCCACAAGACAAAGAGAGAGATTGCCACCTATTGACAGATGTGCCACCTGCAAAGAGAAATGCTTGTGTAACTAGCATTTCTCTGTGGTCTTCAAACAGGATAATGGGGTTGTTAGGTCCTTGGATTTTTCCATTCAGTCAGTGCTGTTCTCAGTATTATCACTCACTGTAAGGAAGGATGGGTGGAGACTTGACAGCCCAAGGTGATGATGGCATCTCAGTGGAAAAAACTGTTTGAACATCAGTTGCCTCCTGTAATTATGGATGCTTTCTGATATATGGCAGGCACTTTGCTGTATGCAGCACGTCTTGTATAATGCTCCCAGTCCTCACAGAGATTACTGCTCCCATTTTACATACTAGAAACTGAAGTTTAGAGAGTACCTTGCCTACAACCTTGACAAGTAAGGAGCAGAGATCGGAGTTGGAAGTCAAATCTAACTTGCTGTCATACTCTTAAGCACGTTCTCCTGACATTTGCTAATTATGCAAATCAATTCCCCATCATAATTTCCTTAACCTTCAATCTTCTAGGTATGAAAATAAATCAAATATTAAAGAATGGTTTTCTCTTCAGTTGGCTAGAATCCTAGCTGTGTCACTTTCTACTTATTTAACATCTTAAAGCACAGTTCCCTCATCTGTAAAATGGCGATATTTATGATGTTATCATAATGTATCATGTATAATGAAAATCACTTAGCAGGGTGCCAGGCGTTTATAAATGGGAGCTTAGTCATCTATTGTCTGATGATCTGGGTTGGAATCCTAGCTCCTCATTTTTAGCTGTGGGACCTTTGGCAAGTTACTCGACCTTCCCATCTTTAGTTTCCTCTTCTATAAAATGTGGTTAATAATATGCATGTTTTTGTAGGGTTGTCCACAGTAAGATGAAATTTTATGCATGAGAACGCTGTAAATGTTAATAGTACTATTCAAACATTGGGCTTCTCTGGTGGCTAAGTGGTAAAGAATCCGCCTGCCAAAGCAGGAGATGCATGTTTGGTACCTGGGTATGGATGATCCCTTGGAGAAGGAAATGGCAACCCACTCTGGGATTCTTGCCTGGGAAACCCATTGACAGAGGAGCCTGGTGGGCTAAAGTCCATGGGGTCTCAAGAGTTGGACACAACTTAGTGACTAAACAACAACATTCAAATGTTAGTCATTATATTTTAAGTAAACAGTATCTGTTTCTTCAAACAGATTTTTGATAATTATTTCTGAAAAATGACTTGGGTTGAATTTGACCTATCAGTAAAAGCTTTTACTTTTTATACTAAAAGCAAACATAAGATAAAAAGAGGCTCTGTAAATGCCACAGATTATTCTGTAGGAAGCTCTATAAACATTAACATGAATAATACTTAACAGGCAAATTTGCTTTACAGCTTATGATGCAATTCCAAATACATTCTCTCTCTTCATTTTCACAAGGCAGGGCTAGTATTTACTCCTGTTTTACAGATGAGGAAACCAAGGCTCAAAGAATTAAAGTGACTAATTACAGACATACAGCTAGTAAGTGGTAAAGTCTTGTGGGTGTTTCCCTGTGGGGCTATCTACTGGTGTGCCTTTGAGTGTAGGCATGTGTCTGAGTGTGCTTTTTTATGCATTAGTGTGTCCTTTACTTATGTGACATACTCACTGGGGGTATATATTTGTCTGTGTTCCTCAGTTAGCATGTTGTTTCATGATGAAGGGGAGATTTTTTTTTTTCACACTGGTCAGTGATAGCCTTTTTCCTCTTCATTTTTCTACCTGCTTGCCATTCCCAGGCACAATTTCCAAGAGGGCCCTAGCCGGAATATACTCAAATAGATTCAATTTTATTTTCCACTCCTGATTTAGGAAATAACAGTTCTCCAGTACTCCCAGCCTTCTGGGAATTACTTCTTTTCTTTGCTCCCTGCCAGCTTTATTGAATTCTCCTTAGCAACATCCAAAAAAGAATGGGTTTAGCAACAGCCTGTGAACCAATGAAATGAGAGCATGACAAGAGTTTCTAGACCAATGGGAGCCCTGCATCACGGGCAAGCTGGCTGAGAGAAATTAACCTGGAATTTACAAAGCAGCCTCCAGGTGGCAGCAGACCAGCTGTATTAGTCATAGCCTCTCTGCTGTCATCATCCGCTTTTGTTTATTGCTTTGGATATAGAACATTTACCAACTAAGAATTTTATAGTTATAAGCTTTGTGGTTGTGAGTTCTTTGCGTGACATGGCAGACGGATTCCTGAAGGATGGAATCTTAGATTCCATCCCCCACCTTTACCATAGCCAGCCCCACAACCCCATCCCAACCTCTGCCATCTTTGTTGGTTCTTCCACAGCCAGTGCTACCCCAGTGGACAGGAGCCTGGAGGCCCTAATGGCTGCCTGCCCAGCCAGTCAGGAAAAGGGCTAGAGAAATCACGTACTTCTTTGTTCAGCCTCCACTACCCCTGGCCTGAGCGGCAGAGGAGATGGGCCTGGCTTTCTGCCACCAATTAATATGAGGGGAGGACTGTGTCACTGATAGGTTAGTGCCTATGGACATCCACATTCTCAGTGGCATAGACTGGGACCATTCCCTGCCTTGTCCATTCTGCTGCATGTGTCTGAACATGAATGTTTGACCACAAGTGGTTTGAGAACAGTTCTCTCTGTCAGGTGATTCTCTGGCCCTCTTGATCTTAAAGCTGGAGGCAGACTTGAGCAGGGGCTGCATGAGACCATGTGAATAATAGCAGATGCATGTTCCCTATGGCTTAGCCATCCTTCTTTTGCCTTTTGAAATGGCAGTGCCTTGAACACCACTCAGTGAGATTTTTGGTCCTTCAGATACCCATATTTTCTCTCAAGCATTTCACTTGTGCCTGGCTTATTCTTCTCATCCTTTAGGAGTCAGTGAAGGCATCCTATCTTCAGAAAGTCTCGTTTGATTCTTGCCCTCCTATTACACTTCCCCACTGCTTTCTAGATGTCTCTTTGTTGTGTTTCCTTGGATAGCCATGGAACTTCTTGAGGACAGGGACTGTGCCTTTATATCTCCAGTCCTTAGCCTAGTACTCGCATTTAATGGGTGTTCAGTAATCATTTTCAGAAGAAAGGAAGCTTGCTAGAAAGATGCACTTGCTCTTTGAGAAACAATCTTAGGGATTCATAGGCAGCTGGGCCTGGGGAGGAGCATTGCTAGCAAGACTGATGCCATCTGTCAGGGAGAACTTCTGGCTGTGCAGGACCCTTCAGCACCAGGAGCCTCGACTGGACCACACCGAAGCCTGAGAGATAATCACCACCGTTGACTCATCCAGAGACAGGCTCCTCCCATGGGGAGTGTTTCCCTGATGGCTTTGTGTTTCAGGAGCAAGTAAGGAGCAAATCCAAGATCTGTGCCAATGTGTTTTGTGGAGCTGGCCGGGAATGTGCAGTCACAGAGAAAGGAGAGCCTACCTGCCTCTGCATCGAGGTAAGAACTGCGGGCGAGAGCCAGAGGACGGTGGCCAAGGCCATGTGGTTACCTCACTGGAGCTGCCCGTCTGCAGAACAGAGCCAGTGATTTTGTCAACTTTATAAAAGCACACCTTGACTCTCTGAAAGAAGTGAACTTTTTATCTCAGGGGTTAAAAATCAGATGTGAATGTAGGGATTCTTTTCCTTTTAAAAATTCTTTAGCTTTATAAGATTTTCAAATTACAAAATTAACAATTGCTTTTTATAAGTGGTACAGACATTTATGCAAACATAAAGTTAATCATCTCCCCCCATAACCTTCAAATTCCCTTAGTCTGAGGTAATCAGTGTTAACAGTTTGTGTAATTTGTTCCACATAGTTTTTTTTTGTTTCTCTGCAACTGTAAATATATAGAGTTTCCCCCTATTTTATGCAAAATTGAGATCATAATGTAGACAGATCTAGATAGATGCAGCTTGCATCTTGTACTCTTTAATATGTAGCAACAACCCTCTATGGGTCAGCACATATAGTTCTCATTTTTTAATAGCTCAGTTATATTTAGTGATATAAAAGAACCAGATTCATGTAATCATTTTCCCACAGATGAACATTCAGGTTGTTTACCATTGTAAACAGTAATGTCTTTGGCCAAATATTCTTAGATGCTGTTGCCTTTATTTCTGTAGGATTGAGTCCCACTTGTTAGGTTGAGTCCTAGGCTTGCTAGGTCAAGGACATGCGCATTTTAAAATACTAGCTGGAATGCAGATTTTTCAGGTTTGGTTTTATTTTTAATGAAATTTAAAAAACAAAGTGAGCTTTTGAGAAATACTTCTTTTGTAGGCAGAATTCTCTCACTTGGTGAACATAAACAGCTTGGATGTGTGCCCTTTTCCCCTCTTTCTGTCAGAAGAACCCAAGACTGGATTCATCCATATTGCTGCAAGTTAATTCACCCACCTTAGTAACCAGTTGAAGGATCCCGACCCATTGTCCCAGAAAGGAAGTCTCTCAGCTCAAAAACTTGCATACCAGATCTGTTAAGGATTCTGGGAGGTCCTCACTAGTGGTGTACCTGGCCACTCTGTGACCATTTAGGGTCCAGAAACCTGGAGGTTAACCTCAACTTGGCCACATACCATTGTGTGATTTTAAGCAAATTAATTGCTGCTGGATACCATGAAGACCGACCATGTTTGGCTTTGCTCAGGGCCCAAGTTGCTCTGCCCAATGAGTTATATTAATAACCCAATGATAAATATTGGTTAAGTGAAGTTTGTCTTTCTAGGCTTTGGTTTTCCAGTCTATAAATTGGAAAGGTTGACCTGCCTTGCAGTTCCAGGGTCCCGTGTTTTTTTACCACATCTACTCTTTTTCGCTTTAATGTCTTTATTAGGTCTAAACAGAACTTGCTTACCCCTTCCCCCTTTCAAAAACCACAGAAGTGTAAAGAAACTAAGCTTGCCTGTCACTGTGGCACTTTAATAGCCAAAGTAGAATCAAGCTGCCAAGGGAACTTTAGTCCATTTCCTGGTCCAGGATGATCCTCTGTCTCACTTCACAAAGACCTGGCACCCCCTCCCCCTGCCTCAAAACAACCATGAAATTAGGAGAAAAACAAAATACTAAATAAAGCAACAGAGCAAAGATTCTTATAGCTAGACCCTGAAATAATTGAAGAATTGGGGTGATGGGGGTCAGGGGCTGTGGAAACATTTCTTTCAATGTTTCCAAATTCCCAGCTCTGGCTGTTTTGTGTCATAAAATTTTGGAATTTTAAGGGGTTTTCGATACAGACATTGAATGACTTTCTACAAAGTGATAAAGTGATAGATAATCCAGATTCCTGACTTCTGATAAAATGCACTTCCTGCCGATTTGATAGGATTGGGGTCAAGGAGTGGGTATTTTTTTTCACTGAAAAAGATGACCCAGGGCCAGGATCAGCACAGAGCACCATGAGGGACTGCAAGGTGATGTAATTCCTCCAACACTGAGTAGGGTAGGGTTACTGATGCCAGAGCTGAGGCTCCCTGTGCCCTGGCAGGGTAGAAGTCATCTCTGCTGGGGAGGACTCTTCACAAGATGGCTGTGTGTGTGTGTGTGTGTGTGTGTGTGTGGCGCACACACAAACTCAGCCTTGACTATACCAGCATCCTCCATGGTCTGTTTCAGCAATGCAAACCTCACAAGAGACCTGTGTGTGGCAGCAATGGCAAGACCTACCTCAACCACTGTGAGCTGCATAGAGATGCCTGCCTCACTGGATCCAAAATCCAGGTCGATTATGATGGACACTGCAAAGGTAAGTAGTGCTCTCATCACCGTGTCGCAGCTCTAGCCAGGGAGCCAGAGAAGGAGCAGTACGGCCTGGCTTCCTGGAGTTCTTTCTATCCTGAACACCCTGCCCAAAGCTGTGGGGACCACCCAGTTGCTTGGAGAGGCATCCCCTTGGTGCTCATGAGCCTGCTGGGTTTGCCCTGGGTGGCCCTGCTTCTACCCTGCCCTTCCTGCCTCAGACTCCCCACGTGGCTTCCCACACTGTCTGGAGAAGGATAGTGGATAGGGACCATGTCAGTAATCAATAATGCAGTAGTATTTAGCTGAATTCTGTACCTTTTTAGAAAGCAGGTAAATTTCTCATATCTTGTGCTTTTTAAATTTGGGTACCTTTCAGCCCTGATGATACAGTTCCTCTAATTTACACTCAAACCACTGCTATCAGAGTAAGAGGGAAGGGGTTCCAAGCTTGTTGCCAATTAGACACCAGCCTCCTGCCTGGCCTTGAACTTCCCTGGAAAAAGAAGAAGCTGTTTCCCACATGTTGGTCTCCACTGCATTTCTTTGTCCGTAATGATTTTGTATGAATTCTCAAAGTCCAGCAGCCCCTCACCCCTCAAAAGGAGATGTGATATCAGGAGGGCAGCTCAGTGGCCTCAAAATTCAAACAAAGCAGGAAAGAAAAGAGCCCTATACTTGGGACCTGGAAGGAGAGGAGACAGGATTCAAGACAAAATGATGAAAAGATATAAGTGGCCCCCTTATAGGCAGTTTTAACCCTAGCAATACACAGAATTTTCTTTTTTCTTCACTTTACTTTCTGCATTTTCTCCTTTGTCTTACAGAGAAGAAATCTGTAAGTCCTTCTGCCAGCCCAGGTGAGTACCTCTTTTTTTCTACAGTGTGCATTTAGGGAGTAAATTTTTTTCATGATGGAAATTCCATGTTCCACAATCCCTCTCCACAAAGCTCACAAGATCTTTAATGTGTCAGAGCTTGTGACCCAGAACTGGTCGCTCCTCAACATAGCTCAGAAAAGCTGCAGTACTGCATTTTTTGGTACTTGCCGTGGAAAGCAGTTGATTGGATCAGAGTGTTGGCTGTGTTTTTCATTTTTGCTGAGTAATGATTGAACTGCAGGATGGAAAAGCTACTGAGTCCCTCCTTCAATGCTCTGTGAGACCTGTGGGTGTCACGGGACAGGCAGAATCAGAAGGCAAAACTGTTTTGGAAAGAGGACAATTGGAAATGGCAGATCTTCTTCCATGGTTTTCAATGAATACAGATTTAAAATTTCATCTATTTATAGTTACAGACTCCTTTAGCATATACTTTTCCTTAGATCCTCACATAACCTTGTGAAATAGTTACTATAATTACCTTATAGATGAGGAAATTGAGACTCAGAGAGGTTAAGTGAATTTCCCTGGGTCACACAGCCAGCAAGTGCCAGAGTGGGGAAAAGTGCCCACAGTTTTATTTCCCTGGCTCAGTGCCCTTTTTACATCCCAACATGTGTTGGGAATTTACTTTTGCCAAAGCTTTCCCTTCTCTGCCTCCACTAGAATTTCAGCCTCACCTGTTGTTGCCATGTGGCTTACAACAAACAGCTGTCCAGAGCAGGGCTTCAACATGCCCTTCCCCAACCTCATTTTCTGTTGTTTATAATATCGGATAAAATTTTAAATGGGGAAGTTTTTAAGTGGGAGAGAGGGAAAAGCTATATAGAAAGAATCAAAAATCCAGTTGCGTAAAGAATTGTAATGTTCTCACTTATTCATTATTAATTCACCTCATCTGTGAACCAAAAGAGTTGTTCTATTGATTGATTGATTTTTTTTTTCCCTCTCAGCTTCCTAAAGTTAATGAAAATATTTTTTTCTTTCTACTTTTTTCTCACCTAAGCATAATCTCTGTTTCAACCATCACAAACTTTCTAAAGTTTTTAGACATGAGCTTGAATCCTGGGTTAGATACAATCCAGTACCCTGGGTTTACTCCTTTGTAAGTGTGTGTAATAATCCTGTTTCCCTGGGTTGCTGTGAAAACCCAATGAGATGACACATGCAGATCCCCAGGCACTGAGCCCACCAGTAGGGGGGATGCTGGGTGACATTGGGGTCCTCACTGCTCAGCCGACTCCTTTTCCTGCAGTCGTTTGTTATCAGTCCAACCGTGATGAACTCCGGCGTCGCATCATCCAGTGGCTAGAAGCAGAGATCATTCCAGACGGCTGGTTCTCCAAAGGCAGCAACTACAGTGAAATCCTAGACAAGTACTTTAAGGTAACCCAGCACATAGAGCTGGCTGCCTATCCCCAGACCCAGGCCACTTCAGCCTGTTTCCCACCCAGTTTGGCTTTTCTCTAAGTCTTTAACTTGACCCTCTATGGCTTACAGAGTTTCTCTTCATCTGAGGAGAGTCAATGGACTGGTATTTCATGGGTCCAGGATTCTTCATGAACCTAGATACTGATGTTCCCATCGTGTTTGGTTGAAGCAACAGATTGTTCCTCTTGTGGGGAGGAGAGATACTGTTTTCCAAAAGGAAAATGAGGGAGGAAACAGTATTTATCAATGAGTGGGGCGGCCATGCCATGGAGATCTTTCAGAGAGCTTGAGACAATTGTTAAAAGAAGCAGTTAAGGGCACTCTTCCAGCTGATTGATAAGAACATACACACGTATGTACATCACACTCAGATAAACACCACATACAGAAACACACACACCACATGCGGAGGTGTGCATGCCACACAGAGACTGTCCTACACACAGACACACACATTCAGGCGCCTGCATTCCCGCATAGCCACAAAAGCCCCCATCACTTACAGACAGTCACATCTCTGGGTAGAGACCCTCTGAGGCTCATCCTCAGATGCCCTCACATACCTCCATGGTGTGTCCTAGGCTCGAGCAGCTCAGACTCAGAAGCAGCCCCCACACATGAGGGACTTCCAGGCAGCTCTGTGGCCACTAAGTGTGGTCAACACCAGCCTCGTCTGTGGATTCCTCTTGTTAACTGACATCATGGACTCCCCAGAGATGGAGAAATGCTGTGTTGGACTGAAATAGGATATTGGTCATTTAGGACTTCCTTTAGGTAGAAGTTTCTCACTGTGGCAGAAAGTCAGTCTCTCTGGATTCCAAGTATTTGAGAAGAGAAAGCACAGCCTTCTCACTCTGTCTTCTGTCTCAATCATTCCCATATTAGGGAGCTCTGGGGGCAGAGGTAGTTACTTGTCTACAGAAAAACATGTATTGCTGAGCCAGGAGGTTTGGACAGAAGGAGAAACTAAACTAAAAAAAAATGATTTTTTTGAAAGCCAAGTGAACAGCACCTGCTGGGTCTGTTGTGCGCAGTGACTTTGGCTTGGTCATTACAGCATGGGAGCCGTGGGGCCCAGGACACTTTCCAGGAGACTTCTTGGGACCTTGTAACCATTCATAGTGGCCCTTTGATGGAACATGCCTTGGGCATCACTGGCAGCTGCTGTTAATTTGATTCCTAAGGACCAGGGCCTCACACATCTTCACCCTCTCTGGCAATAACTTTCTCTCATAGGTGCCTGTCTAAAAACTGCAAGGCCCCTGGAGAAAGTACCTTTTCTCTAGAGCATTCTCATCCTAACCAAGAAAGCTTGCTCATAACTGACAAACACAGTGCTCGCTCTTCCAAGTGTCCTCTGAAAAAATAGGGTTTCACAATCTACTTCTTGATGATCATCAAAGAACCATATGGTGCAATCTTCAAAGGGAGGCTTCTCCCCACTAGGCAAACAGCTGCCTGTTGCTAAGCCATCTCTATCTCACAGAGACTGTTTCTGAACCAGTGAATTGCCCTCCAGCCCAACTGATATTCCTTACATCAAAATTAGTTGCAAAACAAATCTAATCGGAATTTGGATAAGACCAAAATCAGACTCTCATCTGAACTGGTGATTCAGTCATTATTTTTTAGACAAAAGCCCAGCAGAGTGAAGAGGGGAAGGCCTCGGGTAGAAAGAGCTTTTATGACCATGTCACACACATACACAGAGCCACAAAGCCTTTTATAACCGTGTGTCTCTGTCTCTCACACACACATACACACACCCTGAATTCCTGGTGACCGGGACTGAGACTGGAGCCAGGGTAAAATTATAGTGACGAGAAAGCATCTGAGATCTTTTCCTAGGAATTAGGACAAGAATAATAAATAGGTATTAAGCAAGGGCCCCCAGAGTTGTTTTATACATACCTGTCATACATACCACTAGAAGATTTACAATCTTAGAGTAGAATACACATGATGTGTGATAGTCATGCATCAGAGTCAATAGCTGTATCTTTCTCTTCTACCTGGAAACCTATGCAGACTTTTCTTCCAGAAACTTCCAGCATCTGGAGAGCCACCTTGAAAGTCACATGGGTTGCTGATTATTTCCCAGGGTAGCAGAATGAGGCAGCCTAGAGAAAGTATTTTGAAAAAAATATTTTTTTTCCACTAGAAATATTTTGGAGAGCAGCAGTATCCAAATTAGAATTTGATCAGAGCCTTGAAGTTGCTGGCCTCCACCTGCAGCAAGTTGCTGGGCATCCTGAATGGTCCCAGATGGCTACAGTCTCAGCTGAGCATCTTGCCAAAGGGAGTATAATGTTGAGCTCACTCTACCCTTGCCTTATGCTCATGGAACATGAGATGGATCCCAAGGACAGGCTGCACTGTCTACAGTGGGGCCCACAGCACAGGGCGGCAGTTTGGGGGAATTTGCACCACCTCCACAAGGCAGGTTGTTGATGTGGATAACGTACAGGGGCCTTTGCCTTTGATGAGGTCAGCTAAGGGTACCAGTGTGAGAGGTAAGCACTGAGAGCTGGCCAGGAAGGCTGGAAATCAAGCAGGAGGAAATGATCCTGTGGTTCCCAGAGTGAGCGCTGAGGTTCACCTACATCACTGTTCACAAGCAACTTGTTAGAAATATGCATCCTGGGCTCTGACACTGATTCTCATTCACAAGTCTGTTGTTCCATGATCGTTAGGGTTTGAGACCATGGTATGATGGAGTGAATTCGAGAATGTCTGGAGGATAGTGCCAGGGATGGGGCTCCAGAGACCTCCAGAGCACCCCCAGGCTCCTTGACAGCACAGGCCTGGGTTCAGGCTGCCCTCCTTAGCAGGGTCTGGGATTTGAAAGGCCCTCAGTAGCCTTTGCCCAGACACTTTGTCCCTCGTCTTGGGGCACAGATGCCTTCTCTGGGTGCCCCAGGGCTTCGAGGCTTTGTTGCTCAAAGAGCAGAGCAGGTTTGGACTGTGTTAAGCACAAGATGAACCAGAGACGGGCCAAACTGAGTGGAGGGATGATAGAATTGGGGTTTTACAAAACATTCCAGAAAGACCTCTCCATCTCCTTTCTAGAACTTTGATAATGGTGACTCTCGCTTGGACTCCAGCGAATTTCTGAAATTTGTGGAGCAAAACGAAACCGCCATCAACATCACCACCTATGCAGACCAGGAGAACAACAAGCTTCTCAGGTGAGTGGAATGAGGGGGTCAGGGAGAGGCCCACAAGGGGAGGCTGTAGAAGAAGGGATTTAAACCCCTTTCCTACCTGCCAAGGAACCTCCAGTGTCAAAGTCAATGTGAAGGAAAAAGCAAAATAGGGTTCTGTCCTGATCTCTTCCGTGAACATTATGAACTAATATATTGAGCACCACTGATATCTGATCAAGTAGTTAGTGTTTTGGGCCAGAACTTGCAAGAAATAGAAGAAAGTAGTTTTAAAGTTAATGATCACATCAGAGCAAAGTTGTCTCTTAGTGTTGTGGGTGATGTTTTAATGATTCATTTTCTTAAGGAATTACTTCAGTGTTCTATTTAATGATAAGTCTAAAATAGCTTTAGTTCTGATTTTAAGATAATAAGTGCTATTTCATGTAGAGAACCCTAATTATTACAAATGGGAGCACGTTCCTCTCCTTTTCTGGTATTATTCCAGAGTAAATATTAATAAAAATTAACCCCTAAGTAAATATTAATAAAAATTAACCCTTAAGAATTAATAAAAATCAATCCCTAAATTAACTGTGGTTCCAGTATATTGGTAAGAATTAAAAATAGGAAGGGCTTCCCTGGTGGCTCAGCTGGTAAAGAATCCACCTGCTATGCGGGAGACCTGGGTTCAATCCCTGGGTTGGGAAGATTCCTCTGGAGAAGGAAATGGCCATCCACTCCAGTATTCTGGCCTGGAGAATTCCATGGTTTGTATAGTCCATGGGGTCGCAAAGAGTCAGACACAACTGAGGAAAAAAAGGAAAGCACCTGTTTGTTTAGAAGAATGCAAAGCATGAAACCCAGACTCTAGGGTTCTTTTTTAATGATAACCCATGGCCTTAAGGCTTCCCTGGTGGTTCAGATGGTAAAGAGTCTTCCTGCAGTGTGGGACCCGTGATTGAGCGAGGGCTCAAACCCAGGCCAAGGGGAGAGGGAGGGAGCTGGAGTTCTAGAAAACTTTTCTAAACGATCTCTTTGTATAATAAAAGGATGATAGTGGTGCTGCTGGTTTCAAACTCATATTCTTTCAAATCACACATTGTTTTCATATCATCTGTTCCTACCACTTCTATTTGATTTTTCCAGCTGGGTTGACTTGATACATTACACCTGGGGCGGGGGAGGCACTTGCTAGTGGAAGGTATATGCAGATGGTGAAACATTTGTCAATCCAAGTGGACAAACCATCCAGGAAACTGCAGTCATCTTGGGAATATCATTTGAACAACTTGAATGATCTGACATCCCATATAATAAACTAAAGGTTGGATGCTTACTGGAGTCCAGGATGCATGATGGTTGTAGAAGGTCAGTGTAGAAACTTTCTCTTTAAATAGTTTCTTTGGCCACCTTCAGAGGCCTAGGTATATGTAATCCTAATGCTTAATTCCTTCAGGAGGGAAGCTGAGGTCTTGCCGACACATTTCTCCTGTGTTTTCTTTATAGAGGACTCTGTGTTGATGCTCTCATTGAACTGTCTGATGAAAATGCTGACTGGAAACTCAGCTTCCAAGAGTTCCTCAAGTGCCTCAACCCATCCTTCAACCCTCCAGAGAAGAGTATGCCTAATCTAAGAAATAGTGGGTTGTAGGGAGTTGGGGGCATTTGGAGGGGGCTGTGGAACTCTCCAGAGCTTACTAAGAAAATTCCCTTCCATGATTCTAGACTGGGCCCCAGCATCATCTCCATGCTGAGGTTCAAGTCTGAAAATCTTTGGGTTGATAGAGGCATTTGTTCAGTTATGGTGCCTCTGAGGGACAAGCAGGTCTTGTCTGAAAAGTGGTGAGGTGCACAGACAGTAGCCAGGACGTCCTGTTCCACCCTTACCCTAAACCTTTGCCCCTTATTTCTGGTCTCGCAGAGTGTGCCCTGGAGGATGAAACATATGCTGATGGAGCCGAGACTGAGGTGGACTGTAACCGCTGTGTGTGTGCCTGTGGAAACTGGGTCTGCACAGCCATGACCTGTGACGGTGAGAAAGAAGGGACGGCAGGGAGAGCACTGTCTTCATGAATCACCATGAGAGAAGTCAGGGTGGGGATGATGGAGAAGAGTGCATTGGCTGGGAGAAAAGAAATGATAGGGCAAGAGACGGGCTCACACTTGGAACGTCAGGGTTCCCAGAGAGCAGCCTTGAGGGCACAGCACTTATGCTAGATGCACTATGTTAGAAAGTCACTCCAGAGATCGGGAATAAGAAAGATTCAAGACCCAGGGCAAGATCAAGTGTTGGCAAGAGATTAGAGTGGTAAAAGTAGTAAGGAAAGCAAACACATTTTAGTGAGAATTACATGCATTTCTTGGAGTAGGAAATGGCAACCCACTCCGGTTTTCTTGCATGGGAAATGCCATGGACAGAGGAGCCTCGTAGGCTACAGTCCTTGCAGTCACAAAGAGTGGGACACAACTGAGCACACACACACGCATGCATGCATTTCTTCTAAGCACGTTACATATTAACCCACTTAATCCTTATGACAGCTTAGGAAATCCTCTATGTCAAAGACTTAGGTGATTGGAAGGCAGAATGACTTCTTGCCATCCATGCCCAGCAGGAAAAGGTGACATGTTCATAAACATGTTTGAATTAACAGAATTTTGGTAAGCCAAAATAGAGAAAGTTGAGATAGTTGAGACATGGGCAGGGCGGGTTAGGAGACATCAGACATCTGGGGAGGGGGGGACAGTGCCCAAGCCAGCATCACCACTAGCACCGTTTTACCAAGAGATCTTTCAGAAAAGGTTTCTAGAACTCTAGCTTGCACCCTCCCCACTTGGCCTAGATTTGAGTCCTGGCCCAATCACTTACTACCCAAGCATGTTACTTTGGAGGTGTCCATTGCCCTGGGACACTTTATATTCAGAAAAATGTGAGTATTTCATTTCTCCTTCCGTAAGTTAAATAGGAGATGAAATTGAGAGTCTAACTGGCTTCCCCCAGCCACCACTGCTCTGAGCCTTGATTTTTCTTATAGGAAAGAATCAGAAGGGGGCCCAGACCCAGGCAGAGGAGGAAATGACCAGATATGTCCAGGAGCTCCAAAAGCACCAGGTAAGTTGCAGCCTCCATGCTGGTTCAGGTAGTCCTGTCATCACCAGGCCCATCCTCCACTCAGACACTGCCTAATGCCCCAGGTGACCAAGGACATGTGCTCTGTCCCACAGTAGGTCCCAAACAACACACCAATATACCCATGCCATGCAGATCATGATACAGGTAGTTCCCTGACGAAGTCCTTATAGAGCCAATATGCCCCAGCAGATGTAGATTACAACTTGGTAAATTGCTTTATAAGTTAGAATCAGGTGGGTGGTGGTTTGCAAATAAGCATAGTCTAAAGAAGCATTCCTATTTCTTGTCATGACCAGTGCCTGGACGCAAAGACTGTGAGCTCTTGAGAGCAGGCTCTCTGACCTGCTCACCAGCGTAGCCCTACATTTAGCACAGGGCCTGCTGTATCAGGGGCTTCCCTGGTAGCTCAGTTGATAAAGAATCTGCCTGCAATGCAGGAGACCCTGGTTCAGTTCCTGGGTCGGGAAGATCCCCTGGAGAGGGATAGGCTACCCACTCCAGTATTCTTGGGCTTCCCTGGTGACTCAGCTGGTAAAGAATCCGCCTGCAGTGCGGGAGACCTGGGTCTGATCCCTGGGTTGGGAAGATCCGCTGGAGAAGGGAAAGGCTACCCACTCCAGTATTCTGGCCTGGAAAATTCCATGGACTATATAGTCCATGGGGTCACAAAGAGTCTGACTGAGCAGCTTTCACTTATGAACTTATGAACACTGTTGTATAACTGGCTCTCAGTGAGCATGAAATTAGTGGATTTAGACCGTAGCAGAAAGGATTTGTTAAATGCCAAGCTGGCTGGAACATAGCCTGAGAATTTAGAGATTCTGTTTCCTAGAGACCTGAAAGGATAATAAGAATTCTGTTCAGGTTCTGTGTCATTAAGTTGAAGACCTTCTTGACCAGAAGATCCTTAGCAGATTAGTGATTCACTGACATATGTTACTGAGGGCCTAGAGAGAAAACCTAGATGAGCTAGACTCCTAGGACTGTCTTTTCACTGGTTTACCTGTAGTCCTAACAAAGGATATTGCTCCTTGAATCATCTGTCTGTAAACTGGGTCTGGTGATACAAGCCTTCTCTCTGACATGTAAGTTTTTAAGCAATGTAATGCTCACAGGAACTATTGAGATGAAGTATGTGACTTGAGAATCAAGAATTATTTGTATTAATAGTAATTGCTCATATTTATTGATGGTTTTTCATGTGCATTTTGTCACTGATAGTATAGAAACCTCGTGTCAGTTTTTTAAACAAATGCAGAAGCTCCTAGTCCTTGGCTTTTTCACATTTCAGCAGCCTTGAGCTTCCAGATTAGTATAAACCCACAAAAGCAAAAAGCACTTAATAGGAATTCCTTTCATCTAGGGTGGAAAAATGATCAGAGTAGACAGTGGGGAGTGAATTATAATAGCTAACATTATTTAGTCTGTCCGTTTTATGTCAGTTGCCTCAGAAGCAGACGCTAAGGTAAAACTCGAGTACAAGCAGTTTATTTGGGAGGAAGTCCTCAGGAAACATCAGAAGGGGAGTTGGGAAGTGAGTCCAAGGAGGGAAGAAATGATAGTGAGTGTGTATTCAGGCACATTACCACTGGGGGCAAGTGGAGCTTAGTCCTGTTACAGAACTCTGGAAATAGTTACGGTACACAGGGGCCAGGGAGCCCAGCTATGCCTGCATGAGCTCCCGTCAGCCACTAGCTGAGAGCCGCCACCAGCAAACATGAACTTCCTGGCATTTCTGGCCTGTCAGCATGTGTGGGCAGAGTGGGCTTCAGCAGCCAGAGAAAGCCTCAGGCAAAAAGATGCAGATGCTGGCAGTAAGAAGTCAGACCGGTGTACTGAAATGTTGAAGACAAGGGCTATGGATGGGGCACTGACAGTGCCTACTAGATGCCAGACACTGTTGTTTTTTATTCCCTATTTAATTTTTTATTGAGATGTAATTCATGTACCATAAAACTCAGCCTTTTGAAAGTATGCAATCAGATGGTTTTTAATATATTCACAAGATTGTCAGCCATTACCACTGTCTATTTCCAGATCCTTTTCATCATCCCCAAAAGAAACCCCAAACCCACTGGAAGTCACTTATATTCTCTCCTCTCCCAGCCCCTGGCAACCACTATTATACTTTCTGTTTCTTAAGATTTGCCTATTATGGACACAAATAATTGGAATCATACAATATATGGCATTTTCTGTCTGACTTTTTTCATTAAGTGTAATGTTTTCAAGGTTTATCCTTGTTGTACCGTGAATCAAGACTTCATTCCTTTTTATGGCTAAAGAACATTTCATGGATAAATATACCACATTTTGTATATCCATTCATCAGTTGGTATATATCTAGGTTGCCTCTACTTTTGACTATGATGAATGATACTGCTGTAAGCATTCTTAGACAAGTTTCTGTGTGGACATATGTTTTCAGTTCTCTTGGGTATGTACCTAAGGAGTGGGATTGCTGGATCACAGGGTAACTTTGTGTTTAATCTTTTGATAAACTGCCAGACTGTTTTCCAAAGTGACTATACTATTTTATATCCTAACCAGTCATATTATAATTTCTCCACAAACTCACCGTCATTTGTCGTTGTGGTTATTTTTTATTAGACATCCTAGTGGGTGTGAGATGACATCTCGTTGTGTTTTGATTTTCATTTCCCTAATGATTAATGATGTCGAGCATCTTCTTATATACTTTTTGGCTGTAAGAATGTCTTCTCTGGAGACATGTGCCACTGTTAGAAGAGGTAGTATTTACTTTATTACTCTTTATTTTGTAGTTGAAGACATTGAGGCACAGAAGATTTCCTAATAGTGCCCAAAGTCCCCCAGAAAGTTGCACCACCATGATTCAAGCTCAGGCAATCTGCCTCTGGAGCCTGTCGCTCTCAATGCTTCTCTAAACTTGGATTCAAAACATCTTGTAGCACTTCCATGTAGCATCCTTTTTTTCATTTTTCAAATGAATATAATAATGTCTGACCTTATTGTTTCATAGGAGTTTAGAGTCCTCTCTTAATTTAGCCACAGTCCTATGCAACTGTGTCATGGTAAGACATGGTCCTTGCCCTCAAGTTGTTCATCATCTATGGAGGAGATAGACAAGTAAACACAACTAAAATTCAGCATGAGCATGTTTCTGTCAATGCTGATCTTGAAAACTACATAAATGCCAATAATTTTTAAAAATATTTCATAATGATTATTTTCTCTTGCCTCTCAAAGGAAACAGCTGAAAAGTCCAAGAGAGTGAGCACCAAAGAGATTTAATGAGGAGGCATCTGGGAATGGTGTCCGGAGCCTGGCACCTTCTCTTCAATTTCAGCGCTGAGTCCAGTATATGCAAGTGTCTGCTACAACCGCCAAATCACCTGTATTTGCTTATATAGCAATGAGTTTTATTTTGTCTATTTGTTTTGCAATAAAGGAAATGGGGGTGGCTGGCTAGGAGGGGAAAGGCCAGAGCCTTCATTTCTAGGAGTGTTTTGAGAGAAGCTGTCAGTGGTGCTCAGGGGCCGGAGGCAAGTAAGGAAACTGCATCAGGCTGGGAGAGTGGACCCAGATCTGGAACCCTTCTGAGAATAGCACAGCTGTGAACATGCTGCAGGGAGTGCAGGCAATGAGAGAGAGCTTAGCAGGCTGTCCCCAGAGCAGGGAATTGGGAAACTCAGTGAAGAAGACTGCATTCTGCTTCCAGCCCTTCCTGCCGCCATCAGCATAACAGACCTCTAACATCTGTGCTTCTCCTCAAGGCCCCAGCCACTGGCTCTAGATACACGGCCATCCTGCTAGTTCCCCAGTGTCTGAGAGAGGGTGCCCCCAAATGATGCAGATACTTGTAGACTTTGAGCCCCTTAGAGACCTAACCAAATTTTTAAAATACTTTTTACCAAAGGTGCTATTTTTCTGTAAACTTTTTTTGGCAAGTTGATTTCATTCTTCAATTATTATCATTATATTATTGTTGTTGTTTAATATTTTATTTTCTTAACTAGAAATTAAGCTTTTGTAATTATTTTTCGTTAGTCCTGCATTTCAGAGATGGGGAGTTTGGGGTTCTTCCTTGTGCAGAGACTGCTATCACCCAGACATCCCCCCACCTGCCACATGCAGCCTGGAATTCTCCTGTGGTTTCCAGTGTGTCTGCAGTCTGCCAGAGGAGCAGGGGGTGCCTCAGACAGAAGCCATGAGAGGTGTCCCCACACAAAGCCTTTAAGATCCAAAAAGCTAACTTGTTTTCATTTATGCTGATAGATCCATGCAAATCAGTATTCCAAAGGATGGAGACATGCGCAGCTAAGCAAGACTTAGATGTTCCCAGCCTATCAGTATGCTCATTGATCCTGCACTAAGTAGGAGAGTGACTCTGGCCCATCTCTTCCTATTTCTGGGCCTTAGTTTCCTCAGTGAGCAGGTAGGAATGCATTAAACTATTGATTTGAGGAACTGTAAATTCTGTGGTTCTGGTAATAGGTCCAGAAGGAGAAAATGTGATTTTTCTCCTCCTTAGGATAAATGAAACCTTGTTTTTATGTAAGAATCAGATGACCAGAAACAAGATGACTAAATTTGACCTCGGACTGAATGGCCTCACAGGTCGTGCTATGATGTAGAGCCCTCAAGTAAAGCCTTACCCAGGAAGAGAGTGAGAAAGAGAACCACTTCTTTGTCTTCACTTTTGCAGTTCATCTTTAACCTTCTCAGGAAAAGAAATGACTCTCCCTTTAGAGATGAGGAAAAAAGAAGGTTTACATTTTAAGACAGGGAAAAAAGTGGAATCAAATCCTAAAAGTGTGATTGGGGAGAAGTCAGTCATTTCTGTGTCTTTTGACCGCTGTGATAATTAACCCCACTCAATACCATGTTTAAGATGCATTTGGAATAACAAAATTAAAAACTTGACATAAGATCTCATTTTCAAAAAGCAGATTACAGACCTCCAGAGGGAAATCATGAGGGCTGTATTGCACAGGCAACTCTGAGAAAGTTATGCTGAAAATGGAATTCCTTCTAACCAGGTTTCCTTTTTCTCCTTTGAAAGAACTTTCCACTTTGTTTAGAATTCTGAGTTTTTGTAAATCATCCCACTTAAAAGCTGTCTTCCAACCCAACTTATACAGTTTGAAATGCACCTCTCTGTCAAAGTGCCTTGGAGAGCTCCCAACAGCACATCTTGACCAAGTTTTGCCAGCCTTTGGACACCAGAAGAGAGGGCGGGAGTACCAGTCTGTTTAAAGCAAGAAGGTAGAATGTCTTCTCACCAGTTACCTTTAGGTCAGTGGCTGCCATCCAAGATGACCCTACCCTGCAACGTTGAAGTCCCGAGACCTAACCTGCATTCCTCCTGTAAATAGGGAAGCTACTGTCGGCACCATAGAGTCACGTGATGATGATCATTCACAGAAAGCTGCTAAATAGCCTAGTTTGGGGACTCTTGCATAGAGCTTTGCATGGAGCAAATAAACAGAATTAAATCAGGTTCAGTTCCTCCAGCTGTCTAAAAGCACAGGGCTTAGACTGCAAGCTTCCTTGGGCTTTCTCTGTGTGTCTATGGTCTTTATAAACATATTATAGCATCTGTTAAGATTCAGTGTCCATGGAAACCTTCTCATATGCCATGGCTCTGGACTCCGTCACTGTTTTTGGAAAGCAGGGCTCCTCCACCTGCTAATAAGCCCATTTGGACCAGTCTGAATGTCTTTCCTTTACATTTATGTTTTTAAATAGTCAAATTTCAAGAAGCAAATTTGGACAGGTTTCTGTTGCCTGTGTGTTTGTGAAATGTATTTGTATTTAGTAGGCTTCCATATTGCATTTAACTTGTTTTTGTAACTCTTGATTCTTTTTTGGATACTATTGATAAATAAAGAAATTAAAACAATAACTGTGTCATTTTCCTTCCCCTCAGTTAAGGCCAAATAAAGTTGTGAGAGGGCTTCCCAATGGCTCAGTGGTAAAGAATCGTCTGCAGTGCAGGAGATGCAAGTTCAATCCCTGGGTTGGGAAGATCCCCTGACATAGGAAATGATAACCCATTCCAGTATTCTTGCCTGAGAAATTCCATGGACAGAGGAGTCTGGCGGGCTATAGTCCAAAGCATCGCAAAGAGTCAGACATGATTGAGCATGGAGCAAGAGAGAGAAAGTTATAAGAACATTAACCATTTACCTTATAAAAGTGAATTTGAGTTTCAAGAGGCTTAAAAGAGACCTGAAAAGTTTATCCTAATCTTGGGACTGAAGCTGTAGGGGGGAAGGTTTGCTCATGGACTGATAAAACAAGTTTATTTTTTTAAAAAAATCACTGATGGTGGGTCTGGATAAGAAGTGATGAGAAGTCTGGGAACATTCCTGTATTGGGAAGAGGTTAAACTAAATGACTCCTAAAGCTGCCAAGAATCTGATGAGACTGAAGGCTGATTACAGGTTAACTTGTATGAGAAGTCAAACCTGGGAAGGTGACACAGGAAGCTTATGAAGATCTGGTTGACTAACCTTAGTGGCTATTTACCTGATACACATGATCCCATGGAGTAAACATTTCCAAGTGGACTGCATGTTGTCCGATCAATACCATCTTGGAGACACATGACCAATACTTGTTTTCCAACTGCCTGTCCAAATGATTCTTAGAGGTATCATTCCCATGACCACTCCCCATGACCATTAATTCTGTCTTCCAGAAGAGCACATTACAGTTGGTGAGGTTTAAGCTGTCTTAACAGCTTAAAGTTATTAAGTGAAACAAGGCTGTGGTCCATGTGATCAGATTGGCTAGTTTTCTTTGCAGCCAAAGATGGAGAAGCTCTATACAGTCAGCAAAAACAAGACCAGGAACCAACTGTGGTTCAGATCATGAACTCCTTATTGCCAAATTTAGACTTAAATTGAAGAAAGTGGGGAAAACAACTAGACCATTCAGGTATGACCTAAATCGAATCCCTTATGATTATACAGTGCAAGTGGCAAATAGATTTAAGGGGCTAGATCTGATAGAGTGCCTGATGAATTATGGACAGAGGTTTGTGACACTGTACAGGAGACAAGGATCAAGACAATCCCCAGGAAAAACAAATGCAAAAAGGCAAAATGGCTGAGGAGGGCCTTACAAACAGCTGTGAATAGAAGAGAAGCAAAAAGCAAAGGAGAAAAGGAAAGATATACCCATTTGAATGCAGAGTTCCAAAGAATAGCAAGGAGAGATAAGAAAGCCTTTCTCAGCAATCAATGCAAAGAAATAGAGGAAAGCAACAGAATGGGAAAGACTAGAGATCTCTTCAAGAAAATTAGAGATACCAAGGGAAAATTTCATGCAAAGATAGGCTCAATAAAGGACAGAAATGGTATGGACCTGACAGCAGCAGAAGATATTAAGAAGAGGTGGCAACAATACACAGAAGAACTGTACAAAAACGATCTTCACCACCCAATTAATCACGATGGTGTGATCACTCACTTAGAGCCAGACATCCTGGAATGTGAAGTCAAGTGAGCCTTAGGAAGCATCACTATAACCAAATCTAGTGGAGGTGATGGAATTCCAGTTGAGCTATTTCAAATCCTGAAAGATGATGCTGTGAAAGTGCTGCACTCAATATTCCAGCAAATCTGGAAAACTCAGCAGTGGCCACAGGACTGGAAAAAGACAGTTTTTATTCCAATCCCAAAGAAAGGCAATGTCAAAGAATGCTCAAACTACTGCACAACTGCACTCATCTCACATGCTAGTAAAGTAATGCTCAAAATTCTCCAAGGCAGGCTTCAGCAATACGTGAACCATGAACTTCCAGATGTTCAAGCTGGACTGAGAAAAGGCAGGGGAACCAGAAATCAAATTGCCAACATCTGCTGGATCATCGAAAAAGCAAGAGAGTTCCAGAAAAACATCTATTCCTGCTTTATTGACTATGCCAAAGCCTTTGAATGTGTGGATCACAGTCAACTGGAAAATTCTGAAAGAGATAGGAATACCAGACCACCTGACCTGCCTCTTGAGAAACCTGTATGCAGGTCAGGAAGCGACAGTTAGAACAGGACATGGAACAACAGACTGGTTCCAAATAGGAAAAGGAGTACATCAAGGCTGTATATTGTCACCCTGCTTATTTAACTTATATGCAGAGTACATCATGAGAAACGCTGGGCTGGAGGAAGCACAAGTTGGAATCAAGATTACAGGGAGAAATATCAATAACCTCAGATATGCAGATGACACCAACCTTATGGCAGAAAGTGAAGAAGAACTAAAGAGCATCTTGATGAAAGTGAAGG